TCAAGTTGTCTTCACTTTCTGCAAGCAAGGTTGTATCATCTGCATGATGTAGGTTGTTGAGTCTTCCTCCAATCCGGATGCCAGTTTCTTCTTTTTTTAAAAAAAAATTATTGATTTTAATGAACATTTACAGAGATTTTGCACTTTTCTCCCTGCCCAGCCCTCCCCACCAGTTCACTCCTCTTTTGAAAAAAAAAAAGAAAAATTCTTTCATTGAAGTTGTCTGTAACTTATAGTGACCCTATGTCCAACAGCTCAGAATCCTGCTTTATCCTGAGCCAATCTTATTGTCTCTGACACACCTACCCCCGATTATCCCAGTCACTGAGTCAATCCATCTCTTTGAGGGTCTTCCACTCTTGCACTGACCCTCCCAAGCATGATGTCCTTCTCTAAGGACTGGTCCTTCCGCGCAACATGCCCAAAGTGTGTCAGGTGGAGCTTCAGAATCCTTGCCTCCAAGGAGCAGCCTGGTTTGACTCTCTCTATGATGAGCCTGTTTGTTCTCTTAGCAGTCCTGGGTATATTCAATATTCTTTCTACAGCTCGGAGTACAGATGCAATAGGTATGAAGAAAGGGGATGACCCTGATTTTTTTTTCCTTTGTGATACTTTTATTTTTCTACCTGGGATGTGAACAGTGTGAACATGGGTCTGAAAACCAGGTGCACTGAAGCATTCCAGTAAACCAGCAACACAGAGGGGCTGGTGGACACTGAGAGACAGGGTGTGGTGAGTCCAGAACAGCTTTCCCCCCGAGGGACTTTTGGTGCAAGTCCACAACCCAAAGGTGCTCTAGGCAGGGTGGAGTGGGACCACGCAGTGCAGACTGTGGCAGTGAGGACTAGAAGGACCAGTCGCAATGGGGGTTTGGTGCTGCGCATGAGTTTATTAGCTTCTGGGCTCAACGCTTTCTGTTGTTGCTTGGATCACCCTGATTGTATAGAAATGGTTAAAATGGCAAAAAAAAATCAAGAAAGATTACTATTGAAAAATAGAGGAATGGCTAAATCAGTTGTAGTTCACATGTTAGGTGGAATATCTTGCAGCTAGCTAGTCAGTGTGTTCTAGGGTCTGGTTTTGCAGTGAGCATTTACCACTTCTGTAATGAGGTGAGAGGGGAATCTTCACACTCGTGAAGAAGACAAAGCAACATAAATGTAAATCCTTCCCTACTCAAGACATGATGTTGTCGGGAAAATATTTGGTGTCATAGAATAAAACTTTCAATGTGACAAGTGGGGGGAAAGTTATAAAAATGTTTGACCCTAAACATACTCCTATTATTAAAAATTCCAAAGAGAACAATTGTTTTGTTCCTTCGAGTCAGAACCAACTCATAGCTGACTGTCCAGCCGGTTTTCAGAAGCTGTGAGGTGCGTGCGAGCTTGCCCATCTTTCTCCTGTGGAGCAGCTAGTGGGTTTGAACCGTGTAGACAGTGGACTGATTAATAATTTATCTTCCAGCACTTTTTTTTTTTGTTTTAACCTTTTTTATCTTCCAGCACTTTTTAAACATTTTTTTAAATTTTTTACTCGTCTGGCTAGCAATACTTATTTCTTTATACAAGAAATCTGTGAAAGCTGAAACTTGTTTTTCCAAGTCTTACACACTTGATAGGATCTGACCTCTTTGTTATTTCATTTTTATTTTTTAATTTTAATGAACATTTACAGAGACTTTGGATTTCCATCCATTCGTTGTTGTATTTTTCTACCTTCCCACCTTTCCCCACCCAATTCACTCTTCTCTTTGAAAAGTAAAAGAAAAAATTCTTTCATTGTTTTACAATCCCTCCCCCCAAGTCCACTCCACTTTGCAGCCTTCATTCTGGACTCCTGTCGTGATGATGATGATGATGTTAGTAATAATAATAATAGTAATAAAATAACAACAACAACTAGTCATATATTGTTTTTAAACCATTCTCTCCCTCTTCTGTTTAAATTCCCTCTTTCTCAGACTCCCTTCAACCCCGATGTCAGTCTTGTTTTACAACAGTGGCACTCTGCAATATTTGTCCTTTTGGGACTGAAATACTTCACTCAGCATAATGTCCTCCAGGATCTGACCTCTTTTTTTTATGAATGCCAAATATTTGGGTTATCCTCCTCTGATAGGTGTCTTAAGGATCCTCTGTGGTTTAGAACCTTACATGTTAGGCTGCTAACTAAAAAGTCAGTGGTTCAAATCACCCAGGCACTCTCCCGAGAAAGGTGAGGCAATCTCTTCCCACCAATCTTGGAAAGGTACTGGACGGACTTCATGACTCCTAAGTCAGTTGAGTTTCGTTCAGTGCATATAAATTTCTCCCTCATCCAAGGATACGCTTTTGCAGTTTGCTTCCCCACACCACCCTGCCCCCGCCCCCGCCTCCTTTTAGTGTGTCAAAGTACATATAGCACAAGTTTCCCATTTCAGTCATTAAGTATACATTCCCATGGTATTAAGTACAGAGTAATGAGTGTTATGTGAACTGCCAAGAGGATAAACAGATATATCTTAGAGAAGGTGCATCCAGAATGATCCTTGGAGGCAAAGACGACAAAGCTTCATCTCTCATACTTTGGGCATGTTGCTAAGAGAGGGACATTATGCTTGGAAAGATCATTGAAAGAGAAGAAGACCTCAAAGTGGGGTGGGTTGAACACAGTGACTGTAACAGTGGGCTCAGCAGTGTCAGAAATGATGAGGACGGCACAAGACAGGACAGGGTTCAGAGCTGTTGTTCATGTTTTCACTTTGAGTCACACTCAGCTCGATGGCACCTAACAGCATGCTGTGCACAGCCGGCAGTATTATCACCTAGTTCTAGAACTTTCTTCCTCACTTCAGAGAGAAGCCCTATACTTATTAAAGTCACTTCCCCTGTCCCCTTATCCAGGCTCGGACAGCATAAATCATTGCGTTTGATCCACTAAGCCGTGCCATCAGTGCAGACATACCTCGTGCAGTTTGTTCACGCCTCGTTTTAAGGCTCTTTGTACATCCTACAGATTTTTTAATTGATATTTTAATGAAAGTTTATAAAGAACTTGGGTTTCTAATTGTTCATTTGGTACATTTTCCTCCCTGCGCCCGCCCTCCAGATCTCTTTTTTTCTTTGGGAAAAATGTTCTCTCACCTCCCCCACCCCCAGACCACTTTACTATGCAGCTCTTATTCTGAACTCTTGTCATGACAATAATACCTAATCATATATTCCTTTTATACCATTCTCTCCCTCATCTGTTTCAATGCAGTGTACATTATTTGTCCCCTCTTTTCTTAGTTTCCCCCCAGCTCCCGTGTCTGTCCTGTTTTATAACAGTGGCTTTATGCTGTATTTGTCTTTTTTGTGACTGAGATATTCCACTCAGCATAATGTCCTCCAGGGACACCCTGCAGATTTTACAAGTAGAAGGTTTCTGTCCACCCTGCTTTGAGCAAGGTAGATGCTTTTTACCCCCAACAGCATGTGCTTATATTTTGGTCCTGGCAATTGTTGTTGTTGTTGTTATGTGCCGTCGAGTCGCTTGCAACTCATAGCAACCCAATGTACAACAGCCCTAAACTCTGCTTTGTCCTGTGCCAATCGCACTGTCTCTGACACTCCCATCCCGATTATCCCAGTCACTGAATCAATCCACCTCATAGAGGGCCTTCCCCTCCTGCGCCATCCCTCCACCCTCCCAAGCATGATGTCCTTCTCCAAGGACTGGTCTCTCCTCACAACATGTCCAAAGTATGTTAGACGAAGCCTCAGAATCCTTGCCTCCAAGGAGCCACCCGGTTTAACCCTTTCCAGGACGAATCTGTTTGTTTTCTTAACAGTCCATGGTATTCTCAATACTCTTTTCCAGCACCACAGCTCAAAGGCGTCAATTCTCCTTCTATCCTCTGGTCATTGTCCAACTCTCTGATGCATAACAAGTGATTGTGAAGACCGTGGCCTGTATCAAACACACCTCAGTCTCCAGAGAGACACCCTTGCTCTTCAGCACTTTGGAGAGGTCCCTAACAGCAGACTTTCCCATGGCAATGCGCCTTTTAATTTCCTGGCTGCTGGTGTCAAGACTGTTGACTGTAGAGCCAGGCAAACTAAAGCTGTGTACAATCTCAATCTCTTCACCATCCATCCTGATGCTGCCAATTGGTCCAGTGGTGAGAATCTTTGTCTTCTTGACATTGAGCCTCAATCCATATTGGAGGCTGCAGTCCTGGCAATAGTTCAGACTTTCCCACAGTGCCGTGGCTCGCTTCTTAGACCACAGTACGGCGTGAATGTGGTTTTCTTACGTACTCGCTGTGTGTTTGAACCCGTGATGTCTCCCAGATCTGCCTATAAACGAGATCCTCCTCCGTGTGTGGTCTTTTGTGTCTGGCTTTTGTCAGTCAGCATACCTTTGAAGGTTGATGCACACTGTATTGTGCTACTTTTCTGTACGTGCGCCCTTCAGGGAGAAAAGAAACAGAGTGCTACTTGCAGAGAAGTTTCTTGGAGCTCCCCTTAGGAGTCGGAGGGCTAAGATGCCTTTGCCAAGAATAGAATTGTAAGTGCTGCAATGTGCAGGTGGCCCTGGTAGTCATCAGGATGGGAAGGTGTGTTTCTCCTATTTAAAGGGATGGCGTTGGTTGGCCAGTTGCTGTGGCCATTGCGCCACTGTCACACATCAGGTCTTCCCAGAAGGCTAACTCTTACACGCTTTGGCACTCATAATGTTAACTCTGACTCCGGACAGCCTAGCAATCTGCAGAGTGAAAATCTGAAATGAAACTTGGAACAGGGGCTATGTCCGTGGCTCAATTGATGGCCCCGGCCCCTGTCCAACCTTCCTGGGATGGAGTGGCTTTGCCCTGACACTTCCCGTGTCTGCAGGGACACCTCAAAGCCTCTCTGGGTTGTGATTCCTGGTAATTTACGTTCTAATCTTGGTGCTCACCCTCCCATGCCAGAGCCTGTCATAGCATCATCGCTCCTGAAGATGCCAATGGCGTGGCTGTGTGTGTTTCCTCGCAGGCCGTCTCGGAAGCGCCGGGCCCTCAGTGACGCAGAGAACGTGACGGTGGCCGTGCCCACGGTTCCGGGGTTCCCCAACACCTCCTCATCCAACATGCCCACCATCCCGGTGGAGCCGCGGCCCTTTGAGAAGGTGGTGAACAAGGAATCGCTGGTCATCTCCGGCCTGAGGCATTTCACCGGCTATCGCATCGAGCTGCAGGCTTGCAACCAGGACGTGCCTGGGGAGAGGTGCAGCGTGGCAGCCTACGTCAGCGCCAGAACCATGCCCGAGGGTGAGTCTGCTTGTCCCAAGCTGCCACTCTGCTGGGCAGGAACCAGCAAGCCCAGCATCCCCAGGCAGTGTGCATGTGTGCATAGAACTTTCCTTTCTTAGATTTGTAAAAAAGTGTGATTTGCATGAAAGTTTATAGATTGGTTTGTCAGTTAACTGTTCACACACTAACATGTTAGTTAATGGGTGTGTTAGTGAATACATTCATGTGTTAATCACCAGATTACTGTATTGATTAATGCATTATTGCCTGTTCATCCTCTTCAACTCGTAGCTGACCCTCCAGTGAACTTTTGGAGGCTGTAGATCACATGGGAGGAGATTGCCCATCCTTCTTCAGAGGGTCAGCCGTGGGATTTGAACTGCCTGCTTCGGGCAACTCCTTACCCACAATGCCTCCAAAGTACCTTATTAGTGCATTGTTGTAGTTGTTTGTTGTTAAGTGCCATCCAGGCAGAACTGACTCATAGCTGACCCTCCAGTGGGTTTTCAGAGGCTGTAAATCATACAGGAGGAGACTCTGCTCATCTGTCTTCCGGGGAGCAGCTGGTGGATTTGAACCATGTATCTTTTGGTTGGCAGTACAGTTCCTTAGAACTAAATCACCTGAGCTCCCGTGTCCGGAACAAAACCTCATGTATTAACACCTGTGTTAATTATTAATACATTGGTGTTTATTGATTAATTAATACTAATTTATTACATTAATAATCATCAATACCTTTGTAGTTATTAATTCATTCTGTTCACTGATATATTGTTAGTGCATGGATGTGTTGATTAATGTATTGATTCCTACATTAATTTACTCATAATTCATAATCGATTCAACTTTAATGACAGGATCCCTACTATAATCTCACTTTTCCCACTTCCTCCCAGAAACTCTCATTTCCATGAGTCCTTCTGTCTTCCTTGCTGCCCTGGGCTTTGTCTCTTGGCTTGGCCTTCTCTGGTTGGCTGTGCTAAGGAGTGAAGGCTGCCCTGGTATTATTATTACTCACCTTCTAGCCCTTTCTGTTGTTTACCTGAAAGTTGAGCCATGGGGCAAGTTTTGTGACAGAGTAGAAGGATGACTCCAGAGTTCCACCAGCCTCTGTTGGACCAGGAAGCCTGGCGTCTTCTATGTCTTAGGGTTTTAAACCGACGTGAGTCCTGGAGATCATTATATGACCTTCAGAAAATGCATGCAGTGAGGAGAAGGAAACAAAATGAAGAAAGAAATATAAGCAATGTTGTTGTTTGTTGTTATGTACCATCGAGTCGCTTGCGACTCATAGCGACCCTCTATGTACAAGAGCTCTATACGCTCTTCTATCCTGTGCCAACCTAGCCATCTCAAACGCACTTATTCCCACCGCTCCAGCCAAAAAATTCACCCATCTCATCAAAGGTCTTCCTCTCCTTCGCTACCCCTCCATTGTGCCAAACATGATGTCCCTCTCCAAGGACCAGTCCCTCCTTACAACATGCCCAAAATATGTCAGACGAAGCTTCAGAATCCTTGACTCCAGGGAACACTCTGGCTTCACCCTCTCCAGGACAGACCTGTTTGTTCTCCTAGCAGTCCATGGTATATTCAACACTCTTCTCCAGCACCACAGCTCAAAGGCATCAATCCTCTATCAAACCTATTCACTGTCCAACTCTCTGATGCATAGCACATAATTGCGAAGACTGTAGCCCGGATCAGGTGCACCTTAGTCTCCAGCCTGACATCGTTGCTCTTCACTACTCTTGAGAGGTCCCTCACAGCCGACTTTCCCAATGCAATTCGTTTCCTGGCTGCTGTTACCAAGAGTGTTGACTGTGGAGCCAAGTAAATTAAAACTGTTAACTATCTCAATCTCTTCCCCATCCATGCTGATGCTGCCAATTGGCCCAGTGGTTAGAATCTTTGTTTTCTTGACGTTGAGCTTTAGTCCATAAATATAAGCAATAGGAAAAATAAAATGTAGAGCCTGTTTTGTTCTAGATTTAACGGATATCTCCAGAGTTCTCCCAGCCTCTGTTGGATGAGGAAGCTTGGACATTTTTTTATATCTTGAGATTTTTACGTTGACATGAGTGACATGGGCTGTTCTGTGAACTTTAGAAAAGGCATGCAGTGAGAAGAATAAAATAAAATTAAGAAGTACATATGAGCAATAGGAAAATAAAGTGTAGTTACCCCTAAATCCTTGAGATAAGCCCATTAGCCTTTGACTGTAATTTTTATTAACAAAATCCCCTAAAACAAAAATCAAAGCCACTTTTGCTACATAACTAGATATGTGTATATTTACTAAAATGAGTCTGAGATAAGTCTTCTTAGCCTTTTGTGAGATAATCTTGCAGAATTTATGTGGGATGCTCTCATTGGGGGACCCGCAGAGAAGGATATACAGACTTTTTCTCCTGACCCAATTCCGGTCTAGTCCACATGTCAGACTCAGGTGTTTTAAAGAGAATAACCCCCTGGCATTTGCACATTCTCAGGGTCCAAAGCTCTGCCCCTCAGTCATCACTCCCTGTTTCCTGCTGCTCTCAAGCCTTAAGCAACCACTAATCTACTTCCTGTCTCTATGAATTTTCCTGTTCTGCACATTGTATAGGGAACTCTGGTGGCCTCGTAGTAAGGAGTTGCACTGAGACCCCCAAAGACAAGCAGTTCTAATCCAGCAGCTGGTCCATGGGAGAAAAATGAGCTGTCTCCTACTCTGAAATTTTCAGTCTCTGAAAACCTGCTGGAGGGGTCAGCTATGAGTCTGATTCAGCAGCAGTTTGCTTGAGTTTGAGATGAATACGTTGCATATATAACTGGAATCATACACTTGCCTGCTTTTTTGCAGCTTACTTCTCTCCCTGACAGCATCCTGTTTTTCAGGATTCACTCACACTTAGCATATGTGGTTATATACCGTCTAGGCAGAGCTGACTCATAGCTGACTTTCCAGTGGATTTTCAGAGGCTGTAAATTGCCTTGGAGGACATCTTTCTCCTACAGAGCAGCTGGTGGATTCAAACCACCTACCTTTGGGTTGGCAACCCAGCTCCTTACCACCAAGCCCCTAGAGCTCCCTTAGCATGTATCAGTTCTCAATCCCTTTTGATTACTGAATGCCATTCTGTTGCGTGGCTACGCCATCTGCTGATAGATGTTTAGGTTGACACTTTACAGTTTTTACACTTTCTTTTACGTCTAAAATGGTTTTAACAGAAGAGAGATGAAAACAGCCCACTTGGGTCACGTCCCCAAGGCTAACCCCATTCCCTGTTGCTTACAGCCAAGGCGGATGACATTGTTGGTCCTGTGACCCACGAAATCTTTGAGAACAACATTGTGCACCTGATGTGGCAGGAGCCGAAGGAACCCAACGGGCTGATCGTGCTGTATGAAGTGAGCTATCGGCGATACGGCGAGGAGGTAAGCGTCCTCAGATCTTTGGGGCTGTCTGGGAGAACCTGCTTTGCCCTGAGGTTGTGAAGCCTTGATCCACACTTTCTAGAAAGACAGAAATGTGAATCTACACATTTGTACTTATCCCCTCAGTTTCTTTCAATTCTGTCCTCAAGGTTGTGTGAGGGCTGCCTCTGTATTTGACCCTTCTTCCCGGATTGGCTCACTCTTCGTTAGAGGAAACTGCGTCTGAGAGTAAATCGCTCCACACCTTATCGTGTGACCTTTTGTAGGCGTCGCACCTGAGAAGGGACTGGATTCTATGGAGGGTGAAACACATAGATGAACAAGATAATCAAATTGGAACAGAACTCACTAGGCTGCTAAGCAGAAGGGTGAGAGTTCACAGCCACCCAGATACCTCTTGGAAGAAGCCT